CCAATGAACCAAATAAAAACACAGTGGAAATTGTCACCTATAGACTCAACCAATCAGAAGAAAGAACCTAAGGGATGGAGGACAATGTCAATGAAATACTACATTTAAGGATCAATTAAGAAATAATGCCGGGCCGGGCGGTGGTGGCGCACGCCTTTAATTCCAGCACTTGGGAGGCAGAGGCAGGCGGATTTCTGAGTTTGAGGCCAGCCTGGTCTTCAGAGTGAGTTCCAGGACAGCCAGGGTTACACAGAGAAACCTTGTCTCGAAAAACAAACAAACAAACAAACAAAACAAAAAACAAAACAAAAAACAAAAACAAAAAAAAGAAAGAAAAGAAAAAGAAAATAAATAATGCCGGTGGTGGAACACGCCTGCTATCCCAGCACTCAGGAGGCAGAGGCTGTCAGATCTCTAAATTTGAGACCAACCTAGTCTAGAGGGCAAGTTTCAGGACAGCTAGTGCTATATGCAGAAACCCTGTGCTGAAAACCCCCAAAATATAAAATGAATGAACAGAGTCACAGCTTCCAAGATATCTAGGATTCAATTAAAAGACTAAACCTACAAATTCATGGGGCAGAAGGAACTGAGATTAAAAACCAATGGCAAAGAGAATCTATGCAATGAAATTATAGCAGAAAAAATCTCAGACTTAGAGAAATTAATGGATGTCCTTATTAGTTACGTTTTGTTGCCATGAGAGAAGAGATCATGACCAGAAGCAACTTAAGAAAGACCATTTATTTTGGCTTATGGTTCCAGAAGGAAACCGTTATGGTTCATAACGGTGAGAAAAGCTGAAAGGCATAGAAGCAGGAACCAGAGCAAGAAGCCGAGAGATCACATCTCCAGCCCCATGACGGTTGCAGAGAGAGCAAACTGAAGTGAGACAGAGCCCACTCTTCTGCTCTCCCAAGTTCTGTCACTGGTGAGAAAGAGATGGGGCCAGCTCTCCAGAGCAGTGAAGCCAGGGAGGGGCAAGGCCTGGATATCCGAATGGTCTTTAGTGGTAATATGGGCCTCAGACACCTGCCACTGCACAGCCATGGACCCAGACACAGTCCTCAGAGGAAGCTCCAACTGGGACCTCACCATGGCCCCTGGTGGCAGGTCTGGCCACTGACAACAGGCTCCTCCTCTCCACCCTCCAGCTCCATCTCTCTTCACAATGCTCAACCTGCTCCACTTCTCTTTCTCTCCCATCTGCCCACCCCATGTTTGCACACTGTGGTGGCTCCTGCTGCAGGCTGGCCATGTGGCTGGCAGGCCCCAGAGTGACATCCGCAGCCTTTGCTGCATGGTGTAGCAGTAAACGGATGTCTACAGGCCTGTCTGTGCTGTGTGCCAGAGGACAAGTCTGTGGGTGTCATGGTGGTTGCAGGTCTCTGTCTGTCTTCCTTCTCCTTCAATGCTATTCATGGGGCCCTATGTGTCTGTGGCCCACCTATACTGTGGGGCAGAGTATGTGAGCATCTTCCTCTGCCTGCACCATGTGGCCTGGTAGAATGTAGGTCTCTGCTTTCTTCCTCTCTTGCTGCACTGCCTGGATTTGACTTGATTTGATTCGATTCGATTTGATTTTTATGTGTCCTAGGCATAAAACAGCTTTTGCTACTAAGCTTGGCATCAAGCTAGAATGAATGAAGGACTGCTAACTGCTCTGATAAAACTTAACTGATAAATGAACATTATCACCAACAAGGTGTCTCTGCCCATTGCCAGGGAGACCTAAGTCCAATTCTTATCTCTAAGAAGCATATCTCAGTGGTAAAGTCACTCAGATGGACTCAAAGGATGGTGGACAGACTCTTGAATGAAAAAAAAGATGAAAAACAAAAGGTGGTCTGGTGTCAGGTAAAGTAAAATTTAAACTACTATTGGTACCCCATTACATATTAATAAAGGGAACAATTCATCAAGAAGACATAACAACATTAAGTATATATGGGTTAACATGCCTGCACCATGTGGCCTGGTAGAATGTAGGTCTCTGTTTTCTTCCTCTCTTGCTGCACTGCCTGGATTTGACTTGATTTGATTCGATGGGTTAAACAAAATGGATATAAGAGAAATGAGATATCTGGCAGGTCTTGATTCAGCAATAGTGTGTGATATCAACACAGCATCCCTACAGACATCATCCAAACAAAAAATCAGCGAACTGTCCAAATTAAACGACAGCACAGATCAAATGAAGTCAGCTGGCACACCCAGACTATTCCATCGATGGAAAACAGAATACACTTTCTTTTCAGAAGCGCATGGAACCATCTCTAAAACAGAGCACATCCTAGGTCACAAGTTCCTTTTTAAAAAGAAGTTAAAACTATACACAAAGTAGCAGTGTAGTTCGCAAGTTAGTAACAGCGTAATGGGATGATTTGGTGTCACTTCAAACAGAAGAAAGGGGGAGCATTTTCAGTTACAAAAATCCTTACATTTTTTAAAACTTTGTCTTTTCTTTCGGTTTTGTTTGTTTGTTTTGTTTTTTTTGTTTTTGTTTTTTTTAGGTTTTTCGAGACAGGGTTTCTCTGTGTAGTCCTGGCTGTCCTGGAACTCACTCTGTAGACCAGGCTAGCTTCGAACTCTTGAACTCAAAAATCCGCCTGCCTCTGCCTCCCAAGTGCGGGGATTAAAGGCATGTGCCACCACTGCCCAGCTTTTTAAAACTTTCTAAGTGGGCCAATGTAATAAATACATTCAGTGACTCATCATGTCTAATTCTCACAGATTATGATTTCAACTCATTCCTCATAGCGTGCATGCACAGACTCGCACACAACACACACACACGCACTAAATACATAAAATGTAATTTTTTTTTTAAAAAAGGATGTTTTTTTTTTTTTTAAAGAGTATCCCACATTGCCAGGTGTGGTGACACACTCCTGTAATCCCAGAATTTGGGAAGTGGGAACAAGAAGAGTTCAAAGTCATCCTTGGGTACGTAAGAATTTAATTCAGCCTAGACGACACAAGATCATGTCTCAAAAATAACATTTATTTGTGTTAATAAATAAAGATGTTCAATATCCTTAAAGAAACACAAATAGGAAGTAATGTGAAATTCCAGCTCATCTCAAGCAAAGGGCTAATACCAGCAATGCCAGCAAGGACAGGGGAAGGAAGGCATCTGATTGGTCCACTGTAAAGTAACCCAGGGCAGCCACTATGAAACTCAGGATGGAGGACTCTCAAAATCTAAAAATCCCTAATGAACTAAGCTCTACCTCAGAGCTACTTTATCCATGTTCATCGCCAGGGATTGGGCCCAGTCTAGGTGTCCTTTAACAAACACATAAAGTAAATGTGGTACATACACATAACGGAATTTCATTTAACCATAAAGAAAAATAAAATTGTGACACAAAAATGAGTGGTACTAGAAATTACTGTGTTAAGTCAAATAATGCAGATTGAAAAAGACAAACACCATAGTCTGTCTTTTGTCTGGATCCTAGGTTTTTATTTCTATATATGCACATACAGGTGTTTGAAGGGTTAATATAGGTTATGAAACTAGAAAGGGGATCATGAAAGGAGGAAAAAGAGGTTTTAAGTAACCGGGAGAGATTAAAGGTGGGCCATAGAATACCTGTGTCATGAAGGTCACATGGGGACTAGTGAGAGCAGGAAGTAGATGGGGGAGGCAGAGGATAGGGAGTGAGGAGGCAAGAGACACGCCAGTGCTTTATGTGCTAATTTTTAAAAACAACCTCCCCCACCCAAATTAATTAGTTCAAAAAATAGAAAGCACTGCCTTCAGAGCAGCCACCCAAGGAGGTGACAGTGCTCGGCTTTCCCCATCCCCCGCCTACTGTGCAAGAGCACAGTTGCCAGACTACTCCCAGGCTGAGTCCCACCAATCCTCTTAACTCGTGCCAATCTGATAAACACGGAGGTATCTTTTCTTATTCATAATTCTTTGATTATTGTTGAGAGAGAACATTGTATCCTACCACAGGCACCACTGGGTTTCCTGAGTTGTGCCCATTTCTCTCTTGATCAGATTTTTTTTCTAAAATTACTGATTTATAAGTCCTTGAAAGCATTTCTATAAATGAGTGTATCAATGTGTTGTGGTTTATTCTCAGTTCCTGCCCCACTCCCCATCCCCAAGTTCTCTTGACCAGATTCTAGGTGGGTCTATCTATCCTTCAGGGTTTTAAAATTTTTATTTCTTGAGGTTTTATTTCATTTATTGTTTTTTTTTTTTTGTGTGTGTGTGTGTGTGTGTGTGTATGTGTGTGTGTGTGTACACATATGTGCAAATGTATATGTGGGTACTCAGAGAGGAAAGAAGAAGGCTCGAGTTCCCCTAAAGCTGAAGTTGCTGGTAGTTGTGAGCCACCAAATGTAGGTAGTGGGAACCGAGCTCAATTCCCTTGTAAGACCAGCAAGCACTATTAGCAGTGAGCCATTTCTCCAGCCTCTACCCTTTGTTTTTTGTTGTTGTTGTTGTTTAAGCTAAAATAATAGGCAGTATTTCTGTTACTGCCCAACCCTATGCAGTATAGTAGTGTACTAATTAATGTTTCCTTTATTTAACAAAGAAGCTAAAATAATGATGTTAGGTAAAGCACTTGATTGATTGGTGTCATTGTTTTTATGCATTGAACTTGGAGCATACTAAGTATACATGAACTACATATCTCCAGCCTTATAAACAGTATTTAGAACATCCATGTTAACTGTTTTGCAAGGAAGTTTTGTCTTTCTCTCTCAACATTTACATCTAAGGCCTTGCCACAACTTTCTGATAATTCTGATGAATCCTGATAAAATTCAGGATTTATATGAGTTCCAGGTCCTCTCCACACTATTGAATTCTGAGTGCTCATGGGGGCGTGTGTAGGCAAGGATATGACTTAAATTCTCTAGGTTTGCTAGACAGGAATATTTACTGCCCTGTGATTGGTCTTGATAGGTGTGGGCTGGTTTCTGGGGAGATGAACAAAGACGGCAGGCCCTCAGACCAGAAATCGGCAATACTAGTCATGGCGACACAGTTAAGAGTCTTTTTCTATCTTGTTCCACTTCTTCTAGCCAGCTATGTGCAGACAACTCCCAGGCCGGAAAAGATGAAGGTGAGTAAGGTCCATTGAGAGCACAGCAGGGCTGAACACGGTCACTGTTGTCTTCAGCCCTTCTTGTAAGAGCCTCGCCTCAGTATTCTTCTGGTGGTCACCTCAAACCTTTCTTCTTTTCTTGAATGAGCTTCACTTTCATAAATAGGAATGTTTGAGTTGCATATGAATAAGGAGGAAACAATTATCCTTTCTCCGCTGCTTCTCCAAGTGGAAGGCACACCATATTAGATCAGAGCAGGTCTGATGACCATGGTCATCAAGTAGGTAGGGACTGGGGTTTGGAGGAGTTGACTAATCTCAGACCCAGTGATGAATGAAGGAAGGACTTCTTTGTAAAAACAAAACAAACAAAAAAAAAACCAACAAAAACAAAAAAAAAGCTGATGTGGATTTTTAAGGGCAAAGGAACACATGGGGAAAAACAAGCAGAATCCTAAAGCATTAGGTTTGGAGTGATAGGTGTCTGAGAATCTAGTCCTAGCTCTGCTTTCAGTTTGGAGCTCAGCTGTTTTATCAACAACCTCAATCTGTGAAGCAGTCCACAGAAGGATAGAAGCAGAGAGGGGGACACTAGAAGCAATCAAACATTCACTCACACAGTGGGATAGAACTTCTTGTCTTCCATGAACAATGTATAGCTGCCGCCCCCAGCACAGTGAGTAGATCTGTGCTGGTGAGTATCTATCCACCTTCACATGGCAGGGACCCAGCTAAGGCAGAGACAGAAATGAAAACTAAGACCTACCTTATAAAGACATTTAACATGAGGACGTGAAATGAGAATTTCACATAGAACTTATTTCTGATGTGTGAGGATCTGCTCAAATATCTTCAGATGTGACCAGCTAGGCTCTCCATATCCTTTCTTGGCACACACAGTTTATCGTCACAGTGTTGGCATATGAGACAGCCGTATGAGTAAGAGAGTGGTGATAGGAGAGAGAAACCCATTAAGGAAATGATAGTGTTTTCCACAATGACAGACCTGGGGGCTTCTTTGTGATGCTTTTCTTAGGAGAGAGGAGCTCTGCGACCCAGGTATGAGAGCCGTCCAGATGCATAGACACACTGAATGTAGATCTTATTCCAGGCTAGAGATCTTCTCATTCTACCATGTTCACCAGTGGGGTAGGAAGCCAGAAGAGCTAGGGAAAGAGAAGTCACAAGGCTGTCATGAAGCAATGAAGCAATGAGACTGTGGCCCACATAGACAGCAACAGGCAGTGTGACTTTAAACCAGGGCTGTGTGTGGCCTCAGTATCATAAAAGCAGGGCTGTTTTTTCCTCTCTGTGACAACATTTGTTTTTAGTTCTTTCCCTTCAGATTTGTCCACACATGGCCTGACCTCCGTCTCATGTCACCACTCACTTGTTGCTCCTAAGGAGAAAGCAACAAGTGTTTGCATAAGAGGGACCTCTACATGTCCCTCTTTTCTCCACATAAACAATAGATTTTACATGGCATCTCACTTTTTGGTTTTCTTTTTCTTTTTAAAGATTTATTTATTTTATGTGTATGAGTACACTGTTGCTGTCTTCAGACACACCAGAAAAGGGGATCAGATTTCATTACAGATGGTTGTGAGCCACCACATGGTTGCTGAGAATTAAACTCAGGACCTCTGGAAGGGCAATTAGTGCTCTTAACTGCTGAGTCATTGGTTTTCTAATCTCTTACACAATTCTGTCTGTTCTCTGAATCCCAGTTAACACCTTCACTGTCCACATGTGCTTTGAACGATCAAACAGACGTGACCACTGTTGTCACTCATAACAAAGCTTTCCAAATTCTCCCAGATGGACTGCTACAAAGAGGTGAAAGGCACCATCTACGAATACGAGGCTCTGTCTCTTAATGGGAAGGATCACATTCCGTTCAAGCAGTATGCTGGAAAGTACGTCCTCTTTGTCAATGTGGCTACCTATTGCGGTCTGACAATCCAGTACCCTGGTAAGAATTCATAGCCGTGTGACCTCATGATGAAATTTTTTAGCTGACTATATTCTAAATTACATTGGTTATTCTATTCCAATTCCATATGCCATTGTAATTTACTTCCCTCTCTGATGTCTTAAATCAACAAGGAATGGCCCACAGCCAAACCTAGACAACTTTTATTAAAGGTTTTATTGGAGCACAGCACATACTCGACTGTGGCTGCTTTCACATCCTAAGGCAGAGGTCAGTAGCTGAGAGGATACTAGTGATGGAAAGTGTGTGATCTGCAGAACCTGAGACACCATTCAGCTCTTCACATAAGATAACAAAGTGGCTGGTCCTTCCCTTTGGTATGCCTGGTGTCTTGTTTGGGACAATACGTATGAATGAATTTGGCAATATATCAATGAGTCCAAAAATTCTGGAAGTTTCCTTGGCAAATACAGGAGAGAAGATCCATGTTTTTGAGATTTTTCCAGGGAAAGTTATAGTAACCACATGACCAGCACATGACCAGAATAGAAACTGGTGAAGACTCCTGGTTGTTTGAACTAATAAGGTCTTCTTGTGGATTGTTATGGTATGCAGTGTGCTTTGAAGAAGTAATATATTCACAAGGCTCAAAAGTCAAAGGAACAAAATCTCTCTGCTTCTTCCTCCCCCGACCCCAGAATACTATCCCATTTGTGAGAGATGTTCTTTCTTCCCAAGCCCCTATTGTTAACATTGTGAGCACTATTTGATGACTTCAAAATTAACAATGTACATTTGAAGTCATCCCAATTCTTCATTCTTTTTTAATTGAAGCATAATTCATCTTATCAGTTTAAAGAGTCCTTAAAAATGAATTATATCCTGGTATGGTAATGCATAGCTGTGATTCTTATTCTCTGAAGACTGAGGAAGGAAGGCCATGAGCCTCAGCCTGAACTAATAGGATGACCATATCTCAATGAGAAAAAAAAACAAAGCAATCTACTTATTTAATTTACACTTGGCAGGTAACAGATGAATAAATCTGGAAGAGTTACTAAGGGGCTGAAAGGCAGGCTTCCTAGTCTCTCTCTCTCTCTCTCTCTCTCTCTCTCTCTCTCTCTCTCTTTCTCTCTCTCTCGGAGAGAGGGATTGTCTGTAAAGATGAGAGAGTAGGGAGGAAGAGAGGAAAGTGTGTGGAAACAGGGAGGCAATCTCTAACTTTAACGGGGTCTTTGAGAGAGTCCAATTGGCCAAGCTGGATCCTTGAATGATAGGCTCATATTTGTAGAACCCAGAAAGGGTTAACAAAGGAAACAACCATCAAAGTCTAAGCAGGGCAGTCAGAACACTTTACACAGTGGACAACGGGAGCACTGAAGTTTGAGCATTACTTCAACTTTGGAGACTTTTGTTTTGTTTTGTTTTGTTTTGTTTTGTTTTTCGGGACAGGGTTTCTCTGTGTAACCCTGGCTGTCCTGGAACTCACTCTGTAGACCAGGCTGGCCTCAAACTCAGAAATCTGCCTGCCTCTGCCTCCCAAGTGCTGGGATTAAAGGTGTGCGCCACCACTGCCCGGCAAACTTTTTTTTTTTTAATAAAATTTATTTTTTATTTCCCCAGGATGGAGTATCAGGAAGTTCAGCTTGAAGCTCTTGGCTTCTGCTACCTACCAAATTTGTCTGTACTTGCTCAGCGTGAGCTAGCCTGTACCCAGGAGAGAACCACACTACTCATGCATGCCTATTCCTTTAGAAAAAGAAAGGTCTATTCTATCAGTAAACCAACAAGAATGGCTATATAATGAGCTATAGTATTCTTAGCTGGTTTTGTTTGAAATACTGTTTGGGTTTTGAGTGACAACATTGGCTGGTACCATCTCGGAGGAACGAATTTGGAAATGAGACCTGGGAATCTCTGTTTGAAAACCAACCAACAAACAAAACAACCTGGTTGCGAGTTTAAGAATGTTGCTCAATAAGGGGGCTCAGAATGCAGTCATGATGTTCAGACTCTCTGCTCTACAGATGGTTTTCTCCTTCTGGTTCCTTCTCTGTAAAATGACTAGCCCGTAGGGTTTTCCTCTGGTCATCCTGGGCTATATATATCCCCATATGTTAGTTATGGTAGCAACAGACCAAGGGATCCTTCCTGGATGGGGGTCTCCAGGTCAGGCCACCTTGTCTCTTTTCTAACCACAGAACTGAATGCACTCCAGGAGGATCTGAAGCCACTTGGCTTGGTAATATTGGGCTTTCCCTGCAACCAATTTGGAAAGCAAGAACCAGGAGAGAGTTCAGAGATTCTTGCTGGGCTCAAGTAAGTACCTGCCTAAAACTCTGTAAGAGGTCTCATTGCCTTCCCTGTATCAGAGACCCTTCAGCGCCTCCAAATTGCCAGGGAAGGTGGTGATTAACCAGTTTGGGGCACTTGCAAGTGGATTTTAATGAATGAGAATCTGACAAAGCCCCATTTAGTCTCTGGATGGATCAATGGTGGAAAAATTGGAGATCAGCTATTCCTGAGACAGGAGCAGTTAAAGGAGAGAAGACAGACTAGAATCAAGAAAATGAAGCGAACCAGGGAAACCAACACACATGCCCTTTGGCTCCTCCATGCCTCCACCCCCTGCACATCTCTGCCTCTTTCTGCCCTTCCTGTCTGCATCTCACCATCCTAACTTGTACCCTTATGTCCTAACCTTTGACTTGTTGCAGGTATGTTCGTCCAGGAAAAGGATTTTTACCTAATTTCCAACTTTTTGCTAAAGGGGATGTAAATGGTGAAAAAGAGCAGAAAATCTTCACCTTCTTGAAGGTGAGTGAATGGCTGGAATTTGTCTAGTTCCTCTCCTCCAGTCTTCCTACCATCCATTAGGAGCTTAAAATCTCCATAGGCTGGTTATAGTAAAAACAGACCCAAGGGCTCATTCCAGGATGTGGGGGTCAATCTTTCTGGATGAAATCTGCTCAGCGTAGAGATGTGAGCTCATTTGTCATAGAGATATGAGTCTGTTAGCATCTGTGGGACTATGGCTTTGTGAGGAATAGGCAGGGTGCAGAGGCAGCTTCTACTTGACCCTTTGTTCATTGACTCTCATTCTCTCACTCATCCAACCAACTTTTTTGATGAGCATCTGCCACCTGTGTGGTAGGCTACGTAGTAACAAGATGCCACCTGTATAGTAGGCTACATAGTAAAAGGAAGCCACTGTGTGGTAGGCTATATAGTAACAAGAAGCCACCTGTGTGGTAGGCAACATAATAACAATACAGAGAACAGTAGAGCTGTGCAACTGCATGCATGGCTCTCCACAAACTGCTGGGACAGCGTGAAGAGGGCCTCATGAATCCCATCCATCTCATTTTAAGATTAGCCTTTATATGAAGGTCATGGACCACATTGAGTTATTCTTCCAGTGATCTTTTTTAAATTAACTGACAAGATGTGGGTTAACCTTTTTTTTTTTCTTTTTTGATAACAATCCTAGTAGCCCTAAGTTGTTCCCCAGATGTCTTTGTTTTTGTTTTTGTTTTTTTTAATTCCACTGGTCCACAGAACCCTAGACCTTGGAAATAGCATTCTAGTTCAAGTCATTCACTTTGCAGAAAAGGAAGATGAGCCTGTGCAGTGGTATTTATTCATCTGTGACCCCAGCATTGGGAGGTAGAGTCATGAGGATCAAGAATTCAAGGTCATCTTCAGAGACACAGTGACTTTGAGGCCAGCATGGGCTATGTGAGATCCTGTCTCACAAAACAAACAATGACAAAGACAAGAAATGAAAGCGTAAAGGGCAATAAATACATCTTAAGCTGTGTGTTGTCAGTGGGATGCAGCCCTGGGGTGAAGGACAGAAAGAGGGAATGTATGTAGGCTGTGAGATCAGAAAGTTCTTGGCATCTGGCATGATGGTGATTAGCAGAATTTGTGGGGTTTAGCAGGAACCACAGGAGAATAGGATGTATGAGTGTCACAGGGAGGGGATTGTCTATGAATGAGGAGACCTGGTTCATCTAGGAACAGAAATAATGTGTTTTCTCTTCTCTCCTTCTCTGCTGCAGCGCTCTTGTCCCCACCCCTCTGAAACTGTGGTCACAAGCAAACATACCCTCTGGGAGCCAATCAAAGTCCATGACATCCGCTGGAATTTTGAGAAGTTCCTGGTGGGACCCAATGGTGTCCCTGTCATGCGCTGGTTCCACCAGGCTCCTGTCAGCACTGTCAAGTCTGACATTCTAGCGTACCTAAACCAATTCAAAACCATATAGGAAGGCCAAGTTTCTGACCTCTTCCTCCTTCTCCCTTAAAGACCACTCTGAAAAAAGACTCCATCTTCTCAGCACGCCTTTTACTGAAATGGACTCTTCCTGCCCAAGTCACCCCTAAATTGCCCAAGTTCTTCCCCTGCTCAAGTAGATTTGTGTCTGGAAGGCTGCAGATGCTTTTCTTTGTTAGATTTGAGTGGAAGAGAAAAAAAAAAGGAAAAGGAAAAACAAAATCCAAAGACCTCAGTTACAGGTTTGGCTGGGTGTTAGTACTCACCTACAATGTCAGCACTCAGCAGACATTACAGACATTTCAGACAGGCAGAGACAAGAGGAACATGAATGCCAGACTAGCCTAAGCTACAAGAGATCTTGTGTCAAAAGAAAAAAATCCATCAATAACATCAACACAACCTGATTGAACCACTCAAATTCAAAGGACATGAGGATAACTTGGTTGAGCATTGTATCTGGAGGAAGAGTCCCCTTGGCCATTCTGAGTCTTTCTCTTCTAAGCCTGAAGGTGGAGAAAGAGCAATGGAGGATGGTCAGACAATCTAGGTTGCTCCTACTAAAATGTGTGTCTCCTGAGACAAATGCCTTGTCAGTTCCTGAGTCCTTTTAATTCGGTCTTCATCCCTGTCTTCATCCTATCTGCCCTTCTCCTGTGGCCAATCTGAGGGAGAGTAGGAGCAGATTAACTCACACAGAGGAGGGCATCTCCCTGGGATCCAGGACTTAACCCTGATTCTCCAAAAGTGCTCCTTCCTGTGTGATCTTCAATGCTTCAGCTAATGCTTATGAGTGGGGATGCCTCTGACCTAGGATTCCTCAACTTCAGAACTAGACATATTATTTCCAGTAAAATGTTTTCTGAAGCATTCCAGACCTCTGTGGTTCATTCCTAATCGATGCTTATGTTTGAATCTCTCCTGCTCACACACTACAAGTGACATCCACATTATGAACCTTCTCAGAGCCAGTGTATCAGTCAGGGCTCTATAGTCACAGGACTTAATGGAATCTGTGTGTGTGTGATTATATATATATATATATATATATATATATATATATATATATATATATTTGTTGGAATGACTTACAGTCTGCAATCCAACTAACCCAACAATGGGAAGCTGTGAATGGAAAGTTTAAGAATCTAGTAGCTGCTTAGTACCATGAGGCTGGGTGTTTCAGCTGGTCTTCTGTATAAGCTAGAACCCTGAAGAAGTAGGGTCCAATAGATGTACTGGTTCCAGGGAGGAACCTCTTATTAATTGTTCACACAGGGTGGTCAGTCTTGAAACTAACTATATACACATCAACAAAATGGACTTAAGAAAGTTGTATTTATGTATACACACATATATGTGTAATAATAATAGCCAAAGAATATATAGGTAACAATAATCAAAGAAAAGAGGATCTCAACTTGAGTGTGGAAGTAGGAACATGGGAAAGGTTCAAAAGAGGGTAGGCTGAGAGGGGCTGGAGGGGGAAAAGTAGGGGAACCGATATAAACCTATTTTAATTAAAAACATTATTAAAGAAAAAATAAAATGCCTCCACTAGATTGGCCTATAGGTGTGTGTTTAGGACATTTTCTTGAATAGTAATTGATGTAACCTTGAGGTCTCAGTAACCTTGACAGTCTCAGGTCAACGTCTAGTGAGGGTGGAGGTGGAGGCAGAAAGATCAAGAGCTCAAGACCATCCTTGGCATCGTAAAGAGGTTGAGACCAGGGTGCCTAAAAGGTTCCAGAAAATGGGAAGCCGGAGACGACCACTAATCCATTTTATTTCATCGTTTAAGACTTTATAATTAGCTTGAATGTAAGCCGACTAACCGTATTGTTCTAATAATGGGTTAATTTCCTCTGTTCGAATTCATCTACTCGGATCGGTGTCCTTTTGTAGAAGCCTCTTGTCTGCTTCGCGTTCATCTTCTCATACTTTTAAACATCTGTTCTCTGACGCCTCAGATAATTTGGATTGATTAACGTGGGTGATCCAGCTCCTTTGAGGTATGAGAAATTTTCCTTTCCTATAGAGGCGACCTTTAAATGGACTTGAAAAAGAAAATTGTTTTTATACAAATTCTTTTTATTGACTATTGTCTGCCCATGAGGAGAAGGTGGGTGGCACTGCAACATCAACATTATGCACTTGGACAAATCAAGACTTGATGCAGACCAGTGGCGGCCACCCATGCCGCAGTACCCATCCACACACACTGCTGCTGCCACAGTGACTGGGATAGGTCTTATTCAGAACTTGTGGTTCAGACTTCGCGCACACTCTGCGCTCTGGAGGCTTCATAACCAACGGGTCATCTTTATAAGCAGCAACTAGAAAGTTAGAATTCTGGCACTAGCGAGATGAAAAAATACCAACCACGAAGGGATTCGAACCCTCAATCTTCTGATCCGAAGTCAGACGCCTTATCCATTAGGCCACGTGGTCGCACACAAGTCTAAGAGTGAAAAAGAGTAACAAATGTCCGAAACATGAACAACTGACTTCTTTAGCTTTAACTAAATGGCATGCTCTTCGCTGTGAACGTTATTCCAAAGACATAATTGATACTCTAAAAGTCTAAATCACTTCTTGAATGTCATACAGTAACAAGCAAAATGCAGATCTCACGCATTTAATCCCAGCACTCTGGAGACAGAGGTTGGCAGATTTCTGGGAGTTAAAGCCAGCTCGTCATCAGTGAATTCCACAACAGCCAGGGAAGACTACAAATCGAGGCATCTCAAAACAAACAAACAAACAACAACAAAAGCAGATTCCAATGTTCTCCAAACACCCAAAAGTGCTTAATCTCCACGTATTCTCCACGTGCCTCTCAATTGAGGGTTTTAGTAAAGAAACAGAAAAGGGAAAGAATTCATCATCCCTCTGTAATCCTTGATACATGTGATTGGCCAGTTTAGTCAGATTTGAGACCTTCTGGAAATAAACAATAATCCTGTAAAAGGACGAAGACCTTCCCTGTGGCCCCGCCCTACGCGCCTGCCACCAGCCCACCAGGCTGTGGGTAAACCTTGCTATGAATTCTCTCCAGTGTGACCAATGGAGACTGAGTACAAGGTGATGGTTGGTTCATTGTCAATTTGCCACCCAGAAGCTCGAGAGTGGAGAGCCTCACCTGAGAAATTATCTTGACTGTCTTAATTGACGTGAGACGACTCACCCCTGAAGTGGATGGTACTTTCTGATAGCAGCACTTATTTGAAAGCAAGGGAGGGAGGGAGT